CTGCTGTTTCCATCACCTGGTAGTAAATGTCCCCATTTGGCCCCCAGTAGAGGACTTTATGCTCTGCCCTATTACATCTTGTTTATCAGAATACCAGTGGATAAGATCTACCACATTCTTCTTTCTTAGTAAATAGATTTCAAACCTATTTTATTCAATTTTCCACTTTCCTTCAAGTCTTTCATTATTTCCCCTTCAAAATGCGTTCCACAGCCCTGCAACGCGCTCAGTTCAGATTAACAAGTCTCTGATTGCTTGAATTGCTTGTTACCTCCTTTTCAAATACAGGTATTACATTTGGGTTGGATTTTGTGGATTTTTTTCTCCTCCTGCTACCTTTCCTGATTTGACAGATTCTCACAAAATCCTTACTGACAGATCTGCAGTTTCATGTGCCAGTTCTTAACAGTATTTTTGAAAAGGGGTTATGCTGGCCCCTGCCTCCATTGCTTTAATTCCCTTCTGTGTTCATCTGTGGATGTACTCACATTTCCATTCAAACATTTCTTGTTAGCTAAGGAAAATATAATCCCATATTGAATACCATCTTCACTGAAAATGAAGGAGACTATTTACCTGATCTTTATCATACATATATATAGATTATCTTTAACCCTAAAGCTGTCCAAAACCTCATCCCTGCCCCGTTTTAAGCCAATCTCACATCTTCTTTCTTTTTCCTTCTTCTTTCTTACATAGCCAATGAGGTAGTTATTACTGTTTCAGCTTCCTATTCATGGTCTAATTATCTTTTACAATGGAAATTCTCACTCATTTAATTTTCTGACCTTTAAACTGTAGCTTTCCTTTAGCACAACCCTTTCTCCCACTCCCTCTAAGCTCTCTGCTTGCTGTTAATGCTCCTTTTTAAGGCAGTTATTTAACTGTTTAGGTTTCAATCTCTATAGTTGAGATAGAGACCCCCAACATTTTTCTGCACTTTGCATATGTCATTTTGATGTAAAACCACTAGGAGGAAGCATTCAACAAGTTTCACTGTCCTGTTGCAGATCCCAGTCTTAATTTTATGAAATTCAGAGAGGTTTGAGCAGGAACCACGGGGCCTGCTGGGTCACAGATCCCCTTGAAAGTGCTTCACATAATCCCTTGAAGAAATGCATACCTATTGACCTTTTGGTCAGACTGGCTCCTCTGCTCCTGCTGCAAAGCAGTTTCACAACTCCATCCTCTGAAGGACAGAAGCCACTTCTAATTTCCAGGGTAATTTTTTTCCTGATTATTCTATTTGTCTTTTAAACGTTTTTCTCCCTCACTCATATTTTCCCACTTGTTTTATTTACTGAGAGTTATGATGCATCCTCTCAGCTGTTATTTCTAGGATGAACAAACTAAACTTGAATCCCTTTTCATAACATAGTTTATTATTCATTCTAGTATTGCTTCTCTGCACTTGATCCAGTTTTAATTCACAGTTGTTGAATTGCAAAGGTATCTGGAAAATGGGAGGAAAAAACTTCTCTTTTCTTTAAAGTGCAATAGGAGTTTCATGCCATGCAGCTCCATTGATTTGCCCAAGACCTGAGAAACACTGAACTAAATTACCAGTATGGACCCATTAATAATGATTGTCTCAGTGGTAAAGTCAGTCTAGCTTATGCTACAGGTCCTGATTTTTGCTGAAGAAAATAGCTTTTTATTGGTTAGTTCCACATAGTCCCTTTTCCCCCCCCTTTAACGCTTTTGACTGGAGTACAAATATCCAAGGCCTTTCCATTACCGTGATTTCCTGTGAAAAATGCGTGCGCTTTAGGTAATGCAATCAAGCCCACTACACAGAGTTACACTTCTGGTATTCTCATGTCCTTCACTGCTATATTTGCTGTGCTACATCACTATCAAAGGAATAGACAAAAATATCATGTTATTGAGCTGGTGTTTCTCATGGGCTGTCAAAGGGAAGAGCTCTCAGCCCTCATGGTTTTTATTGTCTCTATTAATAACCTCTTTAAAAATGCAATAATTTGGGGTAAAATATAAGTGATACATAGATTATGGAAGAGGTAACTGTTGAAAAGACCAGGCTGTTAATGCAATGCTCTCAGAATAGTGGCTAAAAGGGGGCAAGCACCTAAAACATTGTTCAGTATGACCAAAAAGGATGGCAATCCATCTGGAAACAAGACTGTATGCCACACAGCCATCACAAGAAACTAGGATTTTAGTGTGGACTTCAGTAGGATCCAAAATGAAGAGGACTCAGAGGAGAACCAGAAGGATTAAAGAACATGGCAAGGAGCTTGCCTTCCCCAAAACGGTATCACCTTTACTCAGAAGGGTTTCTGCAGAAGGTAAAATTCACCCTAGGGGGTACTTGTCATTTCTCGCACCAATAAACAGTTCACTTAGGGCACCAAATGATCTTTTGCATCCGATCTCCTACACTACTGGAGCTCTGACTCAGCTTCAGGGTGGCCTTCCCAGACAGATGGATTTGAGCAAGGCTTGCATGTAGCTGACTGTCAATAAACTATTCTTACAATCAAAAATACCTCTTCCTGGCACACAAACTGGCAAAGATGAGTTGCACTACCGTTGGGTATCAATGTGTTTAAATACACAATCTCCTGAAAGGATGCGATGTCAGCACTGTTCACTGCACACCCAAATCAATGAGAATGGTGCGTGCGGTTCATCACTGCTTCTTGATGGACTCTGCACATCATGGGAAGCAGACGTCGAACAGGCCAAAGCTGGGAAACACCATCTCACAAGTGCCATGTAGTCAACTCCTGAACTGTGGTGGGTCACAAACTGGGTAAGTGTTTTAAAAATCATTTTAGCCAACTAAACCCATTTCATTTTATTAATTATTTTTAATTGTTAGTTTTATTTTTTAGTGTGAAAGAATAGAGTGCCCCGGGTTCCAGTGACACAGAGCTGTTGACTTCTCTTGTATAAAGCAGATTCACTGGGCACCTATCTTAAAATTTGAGGGACTACTGGTTAAAACTAATTAAAGATGCTGTGATGGCTAGGAGAGGCTAAGGGAATACTACAGAGGAAATTAAAAATAAAAGCTATTATAAATATTATTTATTTGCAGTCATTGTTCAGACAGTATTAACTGAAAACAGTCTCATTATTAAGATGTAATTTACCATTCATAGTAAAAGAGAATTTCTGTCCAAAGAGCTCACAACCTGAAGAGATGAAAAAGAGGAGAGGAAGACGACACAACACAGGACACGTAACTGCCACTGTAGAGAAGGGTTGTTGAAGAGAGTAGGCAACTTGCTGCAGGTTGCAAGCGGAGGGTACAGGAGGTCCCACTCATTCGCAAATCCCGGTTTTGTTTCTGGCTGAAATCAGTGCGGAGGGGAAAGCTCACGTGAGCCTTGCCGGAACCTGCCAACCCCAACAGTGACCACACAACTACAACCTCAAGACCAAGAAAAACAAAAAGCATCTTACGCTGTCTTGCATGTAACCTCTTTGAAGTTTAAATAAGAAATTAAAATGTCAAGGGTAATTTATGACTATGTCTAGTGCATGACAAGGAATAACACAACAGTCATTAGACAGCAAAATGCATCAGCTGAAAGTATCTCCAAAGTACACATACAAAGGACAAAAGACTGAGTATTGTTTGGGCGTGTGTTTTTCTGAGAAGCCCAAGCTAGTAAGGACATGAAGAAAGATAAAGACCTTTATAAGGAAAATGTGGTGAAGATCATGAGAGACCATATGCACACATAGTTTCATGAGAAGTAGAGTTTATGATTACATCTTTAGTCTTATGTTAACCCCAGACCCAAATGCTTCAACCCAGGTTTCCTAATTGTCCACATTACTCATACTTTAGTTTCTTCTAATCTTTGCAGGAGAGAGAAAACTGGTCCTCCCATCAGAGAAGCACAGGCAGAAGGAGGAAAGGCTCCTACCACCAACGGAACACATCTACCTTAGGTCAAGGCCTCACTCCATGGCCACGGATGACGCTCACCACCACAACCAAGGGCAGCTCAGATGGGGCCCATGTGGGACTCCCCAGCCTGGGTTTCTGATGTCATCTGAAGTGATGCTGCCCATTTGCCCCCAGTGGAAATGCTTATTTGTGTCTCTCTTCTCAACCACATTGGCAGGAATGAACTTGAGCATGAAACGTAACCATTCTGTGAAGTTTGAGGAAAGTATGTAATAAACACAATTTGTTATGGAGTGACTGATAGACATACAGCACAACTGCCTTCTCCTCACTGCCACAGGAAACTAGGTTAAAAAAATAATCCTCACAGACAAAATATAAAGCAAAGTTTTACTCAGCTCAGTACAACTTCTGTAATACTAAGAGTTGTATTTATTATTTCATTAAGCTGCAGTAACACAACTACAATAACATACATACCATGACTTATTCTGTAAATCGATCATATTGGAAGAAGTCCACTACATCGTGGCATATCTGTGGGTCATGCAGTGGCTATGTTGGTGGTACATCAGTCTCCAAACATTAAAAAAAAGAAATAAAAATCAGCAGCCCTTTGCTTAACAGGTTTATAATGAGAGTATCAATTAGGAATGGACTAAGGGTAAATTTTAGGTCCTTTCCCTTCAGCATTTTATCTTAACACTAACATTCTTTTCCTGTGCTCCAGTAGATCCATTGCTGCTTGGGCTTTTCTCTCCTTCTTGCACCAGGGGCAACATCAGCAGACGTTATCTACCACTGCTGTGAATACGCCGCAGCACTCAGGTACTGTGGGACCTGCTTTGCAGTGGGGTGCCCTTGATCAAACAGAACCAAAATCTTTCACAGCTTTTTTCTCTGTATATGTAAATATTGAACAAAGCTGAACATAGCAGAGCCAAAGGCTACGATTTAACAGCTACCACAGTTAAGTGATCATACCTAACTATGGTTAACTGATCATGATCAACAGACTTTGTTTAACAGGGAGGCTGCCTGAGCTGACATGTATTTACAATATCAGCTTCTGTGAACATTTTAAAACATTCTTAACAACATTGTCACTGATGAACTATTTAATGTCTGGAGATTGTTGATTATGTGTAATTTCTTCATGCTCAACCATGAGATTGCCACTACTGGCTCTTGTGACACTGTCATATGATGGAGGAAAGGATGCTGAGGACAAAGTTTCAGACTTCTCAGGACTCCTGCCACAGTTTTCATCCCTCATAGATGCAATAAGTCCGTCCTTTTCTGGAGCAGCACCTCCAAGAGTGTCACCACTGCAAGTTCTGTGATGGTACAGGTAAGAAGCCTGCTTCATGGAGCGCAGGAGCAAATGACTCCTGTAGGCACGCTGGATGACAGTGGCAGAAGCTTCCTCTTGTCTGTGTCTGAGAGTAGTGGAGATTGGCTCATAGGAATTTTTTGATAGATTGGCAGCCATGAACTTCTCCTCCATTTGTACTTTAAGAGCATCCAGCTCCCCAGAATCTCCTAACACTCTTTTGGTAAAAGCAAACAAGATATCCAAGCAGTGGATCCTATCTCCACTGACCATAGGCAGGTCCATTGCTATGAGTTCAACTTTGTTTGGTTTTGGTACACGTAAAGGTTCAGCCAGAGCATCTGCAAAGTCTGAAAGTGCAGAGAAAGTTATAAACTGAGTTGCCTCAGGATCAAACTTTTCCCAGATTTCATAAAAGATGTCAAAGTCATCTTCCCCTAAAGGCTCTGTACTTTCCTCAGTAGCAGCATTGAAGTTCTCCAGAATAACAGCTATATACATGTTTACAACGATGAGAAACGATATAATGATGTAACTTACAAAATAAATAATACCTATGGCAGGTTTACCACATTCACCTATAGTACCATTTATGTTTGGATCACAGAACGGTGGCCCAGTGTTTAAAATAGGACTGAGAAGACCATCCCAGCCAGCTGACGTAGTGATTTGGAAGAGACAGAGCATGCTGTTAGGAAAGGTTTGGAAATTGAACATATCATCAATGCCATCTTCCATCTTCACATAGGCAAAGTTAGCCATGCCAAAAATGGCATAAATGAACATGACCAGAAAAAGCAAGAGGCCAATGTTAAATAGAGCAGGTAGGGACATCATTAACGCAAAAAGCAGAGTTCGAATTCCTTTGGCAGCCCGGATGAGTCTCAGTATTCGTCCAATCCGAGCCAAGCGAATGACCTTGAAGAGTGTAGGTGGTAAGAAATGTTCAAATGCTTTACCAATGCCAGAAAGCAGTAAGGCTAAAACGGAAAGGATAACAACTGGTTAGAATATCACATTTCTGCTTAACTAGTAAGTAGGATGAAATTATAATATCTGTACAGTTGAAAAATATCTGATGTGTGTGTGCTAAGACCCTAACAGAGCAACTTTTAATAGACGTTAGAGTTGAAAAAAAAGCTGTAGAAATCAGCAATTTTGAACTACATTCTTCAGCTATCAGAAGATAGTACCCGTTGCACTAAGGATGGCAAACACTTTTCTATGCACAGCTTCAAATATCCATATCGGTCGACACTCGTTGACTGATGGTTTTCTTTGGCACTGGTTGCATGAATACTTCAGCAGGTGCAGGTTATGTATTTACCTTCTAAATGTGACTTCAAATGCTGATGCTACAAAGCTAAACTAAGAAAATAAGATATAATAACAATGTCATGGTCATCATTTAGATAACATCCTCAAGATATGTATAAGCAAACCCAGTGATGAACATAGAAGTTGTGCATGCCACTCCACAACGGCTTTTAGTTCATTCAGGGACATAGCTGGATGGGATGTTATTAAATACATGCGTAAATACACATGGATGTTATTTTGTCCTTAGTTTGCATGAAAAAATGACAGATCTAATAGCACTAGAAGAGGTTTGGCATTTCTAAGTTTAGATGTTTTGGATATGTTTTTCTGAATTTCCACTCCAGGAACTTAATTTCTCAAGGAAGAGCCATATTCTTACTGGAATCTTACTTACCCAAAACATAAGTCATACTAAAGAAACAAAATCTTTTTCTTCCCTTAATTGCCTTCTGCTGTTTTGGCAGTACTGACCCTAGGAATAGTTAAATTGGCAGAAAGCTCAAACTGGCAGAAGAGCTCTTTACCCCATTCTTCCATTGCAATCCCTTAAAATAAAAGCTAATACATTTGTGTTGTTCTTTTCTATCCTGTTACACAGTGTGAACCCTTATTTTCAACCAGCTATTTCCAGAAACTGAATTCTGTAGTCTATCTAATTCCAGTCTTCATATACTCTATATATTTCAATTCTGTTAAAACACAGATGACAAAACCCAGCAATTTTTATCTGATCGAAGATTTCTTAGTTGGCACTAAATCTGTAACAATGGAAATTATCACATAATGTGGTACTGGCATGATGGGTTATTCATTCTGTCTTTCAGACTAGGAAAAACCAATCTAAAGAACCATTATGAAAGATTTTACATAACACAGCCACCTTTTTTTAAAAAATACTTTTATTAAAAGAAAATAGCAGAAATTTAAAAAAATCTTATTTCGTATTATTTTAATATAATCATGGTGGGGCGTTTAGTTCTTTTTCCTCAAGACTTTACAGTATTATGTTTTCCATTTCAACATCCATTCGCAGTTGATAAATTTTAACTATTTTTTTTCTTAAAAGAATAATAAATGATTTAGTAAAGAAGTTGCCAAACCAATTTTACTTACCAATAAGTGACATGATCACAACAACTAAATCAAATATGTTCCAGGCATTTGAGAAATAGTACTGCCTCAGAGCCACCAATTTTAGTACACATTCTGCAGTAAAGATGGCAATGAAGAGTATATTGATTTTGCTAAGGATGTCAGTCTTAGTTTTACTTTGCTCATAGGTTTCCACCATCATGGTGATCATGTTAAGGCAGATGAGAATCATGATTACAACATCAAAGGCCTGGCGTGTTACAATGTCAAAAAGGAACCGTTGGTATCTGTTCTAGAAGAAAAAAATACATCTGGCATCAGTTATGAAAGTAGGGAGTACTTATCCGTACATGTTTCTAACAGCTCCAATTTTTATGTTGTCATTCAACTATGGTGAAGTCAGAGAAATTTGAGAAAGGCAGAATGTCAAAATGACATTAAAAATCCCTTCCCATTATGAAGTTTAATCAGTTCCAAGGTGAATGTAAAACCCGGCAATATTTATGCAGAGAACTTAATAAATACTTAACCTGTAAAATCTTCCAGTGTAACTTTTTGGTATGGAACTGACTTGAGAGCACTGTCTGAGAATCAGTGTAAAGACGGTATAAATAATTTATACGCAATATATAAACATATGCACTTTTCAGTGAATTAAATTGCACTTTTGCAATGCATTTTCCTTTAGAAGAATTCAGACAGTCTTACCAGTGGTCTTGGAATGGGTTTTTGAGGTTTCTTGGATCCCAACTTTTTCATTGCATTGTAATATTTTTTCTGTTCTTCTGTCATAAAGATATCTTCCCCACCTAGGTATATAAGGAAATGTCACCGTTATTTGGTGAGAAAGCAGCACTATTGTAGTTACAAAGTCTAAAATGCTGGAAACTAACATTCCTTCCTTTCTCACATCTTGCTGGTACTAGCCCTCTTCATAATGCGTAACTGTGTCCAAAAAAAACAGAGTGGCACAAACCATACATTCACAGAGCAGAAGTCCTGGGGTGAAACCCAGCTAGCTCTGAAAGCATGAAAGCAAAGGACCTACTGAAAACCTGGACAGGAACAAACCTTTCCCTGGCTTCCCACATCCTGTTCTTGTTGAATATCCAAAATACTTCTCAGAGCATCCGTACCAGACCACTTTCTAAATAACGAATCTCCTGTCATGCTCAGTTCCCAAAAAGGACAAAAATTTTAAGGGCTGCAGAGAAGATGTCATTGCCTTCGATATGTGGGGAATGAGCTGGGTGTTCAGGTTACAGGGGAAAAGATAGGAGGAAGAAACTCACCCCAGGTGTTACTTCTGCTAACTTAATTACTAATGTTCTTATAAATGCCAAAAGAAGTTTTAGATTCTATGTATAGCAAGGACCTTGTTCTCTAAAGATAGCATTCCTCAAGATACAGTAGGTGCCTGGGAGCACAACCAATACACTTATCTTTTTCTTTTGTTGGTTGAAGTTGTCAATAATAACACCAACGAAGAGATTCAGGATAAAGAAAGATCCAAAGATGATGAAGATCACAAAGTAGAGATACATAAATATATTGTGCTCCATTTGCGGCTGCTCATTTTTCTGCAAGAAAGAGAAGCAACATGAAAAATAACCAATAACAACATGGGCCCAATTCAGAATAATCTTCATATAGCAGATCCTCTCACAAATTGATTCCAGGAGGAACTAAGATATACAGCCCTACTGCTAATTCTGATGAAATTGGTATAGTTTAAAACTTCTAATGGTGCATAACACAAAATATTGTATGTATATGACACTTTTGGAAGGGGAACGAAATGGTGGGAAAAAGTAACGTTCATACTGTGGCTACTAGATGCATCAGAATTCTAGGACCTCGTAGGGACATTATTGCTCAGATGCTGACTATTATCCCTTTTGAAATTAAACATGGAACTTACAAATGATACACCAAGCACAACACCTGAGAGATAAATAACCAGAAAATACAGCTCAAAAAAATCGTACTACAAAGTGTTTATGCTATGATAGCTTGTTAATTTGATTTATTTTACAATGTTTGTTTATGTAGTTTCTGGCTAAATCATTGCAGAACAGGATAATTTAATTCATACTGATATTGAATATATTTGCACTGAAAAACTTGTAGAGCAAAAGTTAGTCTTTGACTAATGGTAAATGAGGTTTACTTTTATTTTAAATTTCTTTTTTTCACAAAAGCTGATTGTTGTGGGTTTTTTTTCTTTTCAAACCTGACTTAAAATCCTACCATTTGCAGTTGATTGAGGCCCTACTAAAGTCAATAGAAACAATTACTGAATTGGACATTCTTGACATGATTTTCACAAACATTTCAGAAGCATCAGTTCAGCTTCTTCCAATAAGAATAGGAGCTGTAAATTGCTCAGTACTTGAAAAATCAAGCAAACTATTTAGAATTCTAATTCCATGCTCTTGCCATTAAAAATCTTGGCCTAGATATGTTTTTTTCTTCTTAGCAAAAAACTACTTCTATGGCTATTATGGATAAAAACAAAATGAGAACAAGAAAAATAGTTTTTCAAATTGAAACGCAAAAAACCCCATTGAAACACACAAAAGAAAGATCTCATATATGATTACCTTTAAAATTATTTGATTCTTTGAACTCATAATCAAATTAAGAGAGCCTCTTCATTTCAATTTTTTTGCCTCCAAAAACATACCACTTTGTTCTTTACAACATTGGATGATACTTCTGATAAGACAGCAAACGCAGCTGGCAATTATAAACAGTAGGAAAAATAGTACTAGTGATACTGACAATGTATTTTAAATGGTTGCTTAGCCACAATGGCTTGATTCTCAATGAAGTTTGGTTTTATGTTTTGAAGTGGACTTTAAACTGTGTTACTGTAAAACATTCAGGTTTAGTCCAAGCTTGAGTTTCATAAAAGAAGATGTGTGAAGGTAGATGCCCCCACGTGAGTGGGAACTCTGAACTCCCTTGCCAGCTGATGGACATCCAGTTATTAGTAGAGTCAATGTAATATAAAGAGGTGCTCAGCTGAACGATATAGATATCCAGGGTGAGCTGAAATGCTCCCTAGATCCCTCTGAGCATATTGACTCGGTCTCCATTAACCATACAAGGCACTTGGAGGTGAACTCACATGAAGACCTTACAGTATAGGTAACTGCACTTGGGTGAGTGGACCTGGAGTTGAATGCCGCTCCCCATTACAACAGATTAGGACACTATGAGTCATTCACAGATGAAATGCTTACATCAGCTGATAAAAATAATTACTGGAAAGATTTAGCACAAACAGCAGATATAAAAGTGCAAAAATCATAACGCTTTTGTGGAAAGCAGTAACATTAAAAAAAATATAGTTTGAATATAGTGACTGACCTCTCGTGAATCTACTGCTGCATACATGATGTCCATCCAACCTTTAAATGTTGCCTAGAATGAGAGATTGTGGAAAACGTGTTGAACTTTCAGGGTAAAAGTCTTCACATCATTTGCAATATCCAAATGACACTGACTGAGTAAGAGCCTTTGGTATGGTCACATAGCACCAAGCTCTGACTTTAGGAAAACTTGCCCCTGCTGTACATGTGGCATTCTCAGCCTTATCAGGATGTGAAAGCTTGCTAGGATGGGACAGAACATGTTGCCCTAGGATGCTGGCAGGGCAAACCTTCACTAGCATGGTCTACTAAAGGCCTTACAACCCCCATGCCTGAAAAAAATCTGTATTATGGAAGATTAGTTCAGTATTTGCCCCAGATTTCCTTTCAAGATTGACTCCAGCTCTCAGTCTCAGGAACCTGCTGGAGGCTGAAACAGCACTTGTCCACCAGATGCTTACTTTATCACCTGGAAAATCACAGCGGGATCTAATTTGTCCCTCTATTTCCATTTGTGCGCACGAACAGCACTGGTGTTTGAACAGCCAGCTACAAGAGAAGAGCAGGCTGTATGATACCACTCCTTTCCATCACCCACAGAGATGAGTTAGGAGTTGACAGGAGGTCAAGCCCATCTGACGTAGTGAAGCCAAGCAGCACTCACCACCTGAAGAAGAGCCAGGTAGCCAGAGCCAACATTATCAAAGTTGACTTTAAGGTTGACCCAGAATATTTTTCCTGTGTTATTATACATTCTACAGTCTGTTATGTTATCGATCAAGCTATTTAATTCTGAATCTTCTTCTGTCATATTGACACATCTCCCAAATTTCCCAGCAAACAGGTTCACTCCCATGATGCTAAAGATGAGCCAGAAGATGAGGCAGACGAGCAGAACATTCATGATGGAAGGGATGGCTCCCACGAGGGCATTGACCACCACCTTGGGTGAAACGGGAGAGGAAAAATACACTTAAACAAAGATGGGCTCAAGTATTTGCTCAGTGCAATAAGCAGTCACTTAGTCGTCTCAGCAAACAGAAATCTAAGGTTTTCCATGTAAATACAAGTCACAGCTGGCATGGGTACCTTGAACAAAGATTCAAAGGTCCATAGTATCTCTTAGGCTTTCAAAGGAATAGTTTTTGGGCTGCTGTGAGCCACTACTGCATAAGTGTACTAAAACGTGAGTCCGTCCTCTTTTGATTACTTTCCCTTGGTTTTGGAGTAGGGGGTGTTTTGTTTGTTGTTTGTTTTAAACTTTTATAACATAAAATTTCTGAAGCATTCATCCATGAGCACTAGTGCAGAGGACTGTATTATTAAGACTGTAGAAAGTAGTTTTTAAAAGGACCAGTAATAACTCTCCACTAATATTTTGCTAGATCTATTATTTTTAGTAGATTATGATTTTGTTTGGCATCTATAACCATGAGATTACTGTAATCTCGGTACTTTTTCTGTACTAGGTGCTGTACAATCACAGAAAATGTCCATGTAGGTTTTAAGTGCATGCTGAGACATAACAGATTGCTTCATAAAATGGGGCAATGTAAGGAAGCGATGAGGATATATCTTTGAGTTTCACAGTGAAGGCAATGAACTCAGCAGTCAGGTAGCAAAGAAGAACTTGATGGACCAGAAGAAAAATGAAAAAGCTTTGTGAAGGTTTTTGGAGACCATGCCACACACATTCTGCAGAGCAAGAGAGAAAGTATGATGGTACCCATTTCAAAATTGACTCCAGACATGGAAATTTTGATACATTCTGTTAATTAATTTAATGCATTTTCTCTCTGCCTTCACAGTGACAAGACTGCAATCAGAGAGCTTTCAGTCTCACTTCCAGAAGATATCCAAAAGCAATCTATATCTCAGCTGCATTGAGGCTGCATTCCCATGTAAACATGTGACAGTGATGCCATTTGTATTTCTACCATCCGTTTTCACATGCCAGAGTATATTCCATAGACCAGACTTTTGCCCAAATAGCACTGTGGTTATCACGCTGTTTCACATTGAAGCGTACGGATGTGTTTTGCATATGGCTGAGGGAATCTTTCTCTGCATTTGTGCAATGGTAGATTTGTAATTAAATGTAATTGATGTCCAGCAGCTTCACATTTTTCCAGGTGCTCTTTTGAAGGAAAAAGGTAGCGAATATTCTACAAACACTCCTGCTTTTTGAAAGGATAAGTCTATTTGGAACAATACTTTGAGCAAAGTACCTCTTAATAGTTTAAAGTTTTTGTAAATCAATCCAGTAAAAACTTGCAAAACAGAGGTGATTCTTTCCCATGAATTAGCTTGCCATCACACTTCAAAAATGACAATTGTGCTCACAGTTCTTATTCTCTATTTTATTTTCAGCTATCTCATTAAAGACAGGAACACAAGAATGACTGAGCAGCAATGGAACAAAGTTCTGCCTAGTCTAGTTTTAGTTTCAATGGCACTTGAGATCGATCACTCAAGGAAAGTCTATAAGGAGCAGCCAGGTACGAGAAGCACAGCAAAGGCACCTTTTAAAAATTCATTTTATAGGTCCTAAGCTGAACTTGGGGTAGAAATGTGGACTTCGTAAAGACACAGTCGTGAGTTACGAACCTGTTACATGCTCATTAGTACTGACAGGCTTTAATTTGTATTCAGTCTTACCCTCATCCCTTCAAATCGTGACAATGCTCTTAAGGGTCTCAGAGCTCGGAGAGTCCTAAGAGATTTCACGGCGTCAAATGAACTGCCGAAGAGGTTTATTAAAGACACCTGAATGGGAAGACAAAAGAAAGTATTAGCAATGTCCTGGTATCTGTTTCCTTTACTCCTGTTTTTAAAAAAATAAATCAAATCTTCCCATATTTTCAGTGCCCAGAGTGCCATATCCTGAAACCATCATTAAAGGAGGTAAGAGTACTGTCATAGCTTCGCATTCAGAAAACAGTCGGTGATTCTGCTACTGCCTCCTGCATCAGGACCCGCGTAGAAATGCCAAAGGCAGAACTTACGCCTACAATAATGAAGTCCAGCCAGCACCAGGCATTGGTGAAATACTTCTTGAAGCCGTAAGCCACCCATTTCAGGAGCATCTCCAGAACAAAGATGAAAGTGAACATTTTGTCAAGAAATGCCAACATAATTTTAATGTTTCTTCTCTCATTTATATGGATGTCTTCAAATACCTGAAATCATAATATATAAATCAATAGCAAAAGTCAGACATGAGCTTTATAAAATGAAACTCTAGCATCCTTAAGACCCCTTCATCATTCGGTATGTGTTTTACACAGATCTGAACCCCGTCTTTTACTCAAATCTGCGTCAGCTGATAAACTTGTAATGCTCCCTGTCCCTTCTCTTTCTTTTTGTCTATGTATTACACCCCTGTGGACACACATCATGCACACTGGGATCCTAGGAAGAAAGTATAAACTTCTTGAAATGAATTTCTAAAAATATACTTTCAAGAGAACCAATTTTTTTAGTATTAAGAGTAGCTTATTTGTTTTAATGACATAAAAAAAAATAATTTCCCAACTGTGAAACAACTTCCAGAGAAAGCCATAAAAAATCCAGTATAGAGCCAGAATAGGAACAGCTTCTGAGAGTTATATATATTTTAGCATTGCTCACTCTTTCTCATAATTTGTAATAATATGAATAATAAATTCACAGTAATTGCAATAGTGAATAAATGACTGCTATGTGAAGCCTCTTCTTTTTTCTCCTGATGAGTTCAAAGATACTCACTGTGTTTTCTGCTAAAAACAACTTCTCTTGTTGCAAATTAAAGCTAAAAATGCTTCTAAATAAATACATGAAATTGTGCCACACTAACCAGGGCTCCACTGCTCAGAAGGATCATGAATATGATAAAGGATTCAAACCAGGAGTGTTCGACAATCTGGTAGCAGGTTTTTCTCAGATTCCACCATGTTTCTCCTCCAAACTTCATGGCACTACCCACATAACAATGAAAGTATCGCACACAACCTGAAAGTGAGACACGGCAATGAATGTATGGAATGAATGTACATGTATGTGAAGGGTTGCTCAAGAAACTTCTTGCAGCAGGGGAAAGTCCGTGGTCACATTAACTGCATCATTGTTGGGGTTTTTTTTTCATGTTTTGCCATGAGAAAAAAAAAAAAAGGAAACATCTAATTTTGTTTGCCTTGTAACTCCTATTTATATACATATAAAGTAGGTGGAGCCCCTTTGGACAACTTTCCATTGTTTCAAGATATTTCTGACACACTGGACACATCTCAGTAACCTGCTGTTTGGGCACACAAAACTTCAGGGCCATGGGAAGAGTCTTGGTGTTACAAAAGCCTTTCTCAGTTTCTGCACACTGTTTGGAAAGCAGAGACGAGATACCCCAGAACAAAAAGGCTCAGAGACAGAGGAGGTAGACAGTTGTCTTCAATATTGCAGCATTATACCCTGCCTTGCGAGGTCTATTGATTTATTTGTTTGATTCTGAATGTATGGAGTGATTTTATATCATATAACTTGCAAGGATGTGTCATATTCTCAGCTCCATGGAAGGAGACATCTCCTTTCAAGCTCACTACACTGCTTCTTATAACAGACAGTGAAGCCACGACCACCTAATGTTTCCTGCCCACCCCATTACAAAACCCTGGATTTGATTACTTACTAATTTTGCCAAGAATTAACTCATTTTGGCTAACATTTTCCTTGCTGTGTGCTCTAAGCTAATTCATGTTTTCATTATCATGAAAAATATCAGTCAGAAGGCTACTGTCATTTATGAGTATGAAAAAAATACTGTGTATGTGTGTCATACATATATATGAGATATCTTATATCATCACACATATATCATATATATAACTCATATATATAATAGGATGTAATATATGCAAAAAATTCTGATCATCTTACTTTCAGTAATCCCAGTTTCCCCAGTAATGTGGTTCTGGGATTTGAGACGAGGCAGGGAATGGTACTTGCATAAGATAGGGACTTCTTTTGTGCAGAAACCTGTGTTAGATACCGATTTGCTGCACCTTCAGTTGAGTTGTCTAATGGTTTGCAGGCATACTCCAGCCTGGGACTGCAGAGCACAAAACAAGACATTTCACATTTCTTCTCTGGAGCAGGGAAAGGGAAAAAAA